GAGTTCTGCTGTTCCCTGCAATCAGCTCTTACAGATTTCTCAATCTTACTTATTGCTTATTTACCAGTCCTTAAACTGCGCAATGTTCACAAAATCTTGGATGATCAATGAAACAATGAAGTATGTATTGGAGCAAAAACTGATCGTCAGGCTTCTAATAACTAAAATTAGAAAGTAATTCAGTGCAAACCAAGTGTAAAAGCTTTTTACCTTTTCTTCCACTTCACGTCCTACTCCAGGTAAATTCAGTGTTCTCAAGAAATCGGGACTGTCCGTGGCCTAGAAAACAAGATTGCCACAGCTAGATATTAAAATGTAAAGGATATAATAAATTTGGTTCAAAGGACTTTTGAAATCATGCACATTAGGGCCGGATTTTTACCCTGTTTCCTGTCACTGCAGGATTGATGGATAAACAATTCTTGTTCCTAAATGCTGTGAGTTTCTCTTTGCTGCACCTTGAATCACTGCTGTCTATACAGAAGCAGTTGCTGCTACAGGACACTACAAAAGGCAAACCATTTATGCTTCCTTAATAAAATACCAGATTCCAAATCAAAAGAAAGAATCATCAATCATCTCCTCATAACTTTATTTTCTCCTGACCTACACCTAAGGGAAAAATATAGGAAGCTAATCAGGTATTACCTCTGCTGCAAAGAGTTTCAACTCCAGGTTCTTGACAACTCCTCTTCTTACAGAGCAAACTGGCCCCCCCATAGCAATCAAACCCTATCAGTCACTAGGACTCCTGAGCTAGTGTCCCTCTCTAAGCCACCCCACAGAAGGGGATTTTTAAGGTGCAGTTGTTGAAGCAGCATTTATCACACCTAGAAACATGGTTTTTAATGTGTTTATATCACACTATTACTTCATAACCTAATGAATGTTGGGATCCCATTACACCAGATGCACTTGACAGTATAAAGCCTAAAAAAACAGCTTTACAAATACAGGTTAAATGAAACCCTGAACTCTTGCCATCGATCCAAGTTACTCAGGAAAACCAGAAGTCACAAAGGAACACAGGAAACCTGTCTGAAGAGCAGCACTATGTGGTCCTGGCCACCAGCTCCTGACAGGACCCACCTCGTCCCCCCAGGACCTCTGCAGATAAACACACAGAGGAGTGACAAGGCCAACGGCAGAGACGGGAGCAGGGGCAAGCTGCCATGCACCAGGAATCTCTGATAAAGCAGGTATGAGTAGGGCACAAAAAGGGAAAAATAAAATATTACGCTTGTAGTAGGGAGTATCTGTCAGGCAGAAAAAGAAACCTTACTTTAGCTTCATTTTTATCCTTCCAGACTGCAGAAGGAGAGGTGTGAGTGTGCAGGCCCTACCCAAATACATGGCTCCCTGACAGATCCGACCACAGCCATGAAGGAAGTGGTCACAGAGGAGCTATGTTGTCCCTTTGAAGACGGATGAAGAATTTGGGGCACCTCAGCCATAAATCTCCTTTCTGTCTGTTTGGCTGAACACAGTCATGAGCCACAGAGGACGATTAGTGCTTTTGCCTTTCACACAAGCAGGGGTCCAGCATTCATTCAGCTTTGTAAGGGCTGCGTGTGCATGGTGGGTTGCTGAATGCCTTCCCCCAAGGGTTTCCAGGCACAGAGTCAGCCTCCTCCAGGCAGGGAAGGATTTCCCTCTGTCCCCCGTGCTCCCTTCAGCCATTACATTGGAACAAAACAAGTCTTGCCTTAGAGGACTTCCAGAGAGCTTCCAGCACTCACCATGCTGCTTTGCTGTCTGAATGAGACCTTTCTGGACACCTGAATGGCCGCAGTTCCTGGTAGCAAAATCTTCATGGATAGTTTGAATAATTATTTGAATTATACTGGACATTTGGAAATTTGGCTATTTACTCCAAGACCCGGGATTTTACGGAGTTAGGCTCCAGACCCCTCTCATTTTGAAACGATTGTTGCCATTTGACGGTGTGCTCAAATTTCCGTGCTGGGAAGTCCCTATTTCAAGACATTTTCTGTTTCAGAAAAAATTCCTGTCTTCTACCTGCACTGTGAGTGGTGTCTGCACTGCTGGAAGTCTGGAGCAAACATTCAAACCAGAACCCTGCTGCCTCCACGCTGCCCTCACCCCATGGATACGCTGATTTAGAGTGCTTACTTTATTACCACAGTCTGAGGTTCCTGCGTCCTCTTGAGTCTCAACCTCCATGGGGCTACTGAGCAAGACATCCTCCTCCATACTAGCATTTGCCTCCCCCATTGTCCTCACAGAAATTGTCATTTGTGGAGGCTGCCCAAATTTTATATTCTTGGCCAACTGTTGCTGAAAAACAAGAAAAGAAAATAATTTTTAAAACTGGTATTTATATTATGAGCAAAACCAGTCAATCTAGCATGTGCCCCTTCTCCACCTGAAAGCTGCACAGAAACATTCCAGGAAACTTCTGACTCTGGAGAGAAAAACAAAACAAAACAAAACAACAACAACAAAAACGCTGCCAAAACCCACACAAATAACTTCATGGCTCACACCGCTGCAACCTGGTGGGCACCCCTTCTTCCTCCTCCCTGCAAAGTGACTAAGGTCAGGAATTCACCGCATCATTTCTGATTTTGGATGACTGAGTTCTTGTCAGTGTTGCAAAATTTTGCAAATTTACTGTGAGCTTTGAAACATTCTCTCTCTCTTTTTTTAATCTGTGTCACAGTGTAAGGCTTTGTTTATAAAAGTTAATCAACAGTTACACCGCAAAGAAATATGATTATGAGCCAAGTGTATACTGAGAAACTAAAAGTGCCTCAAAAGGCAGCTGTTTTCTTCTTCAGGCCCCAAACCCTGCATCTCATGCATCTGTCATTCTTAAAGATATCCTCAGTGTAACGTTTCATTGTAAGTTTTAAATGTTAAGGGTTTGGCACAGCCCTGCCTTACAGGAGGCAAACACCCAAAGGCTGGGAAGCCCAGCTTCTTTTAGATGTTTGATCGCACCATGCAGCCTTTGAAAGTGAACTTTTTGCAAAAGAGTTAGAAGTTGGAAATTGCAGGCATGACATTTTGTTCTTCTACCACTGCAGTCACGTGTTTAAATATCCTTTTGGTAATCTCCATAGATGCATGTCGGGCTCAGTTAAATGACCTTGGTCTCTTTTGGTTTGTGCAAGAAGGCTTGGAAATGAGCAGCCAGAAATCATGTTCTGCTCTGAAATCTAGCTGTCAGGTAGAAGCAGAAGGAGAGATTAATGTTTCCTGCCCGCACCTTCCACTTCCAGTCTCATCAACTCCAATGAGCTTTCCCAGTCCCTCAGTATGCAGCCAGTGGACAGGTATTTCCACAGGACTCAGCACCACAACACCACAGCTACCACATATGAGAACTACACCATGAAACAGTGGCTGGAGGGACCCACACACAGGGGAGCTGCAGAACGGGATCATCAGGCTGTGCTCCAGACCAGGTTCACTTCATCCCTGATTTTATTTTTCTGAAGGTTCAAGAGGTACATGACAGTTTGTCTGCTCACACCCAACCTGAGTGGCTGCTGATACAGTGCCCTTCAGTGTGAAGTGAGGGGCAGGGCTGCACACCTAATAAAAAAAATTAAATACTGGGAATTTAGGAAAGAAAAAAGTAATTAAATTTTTAAAATATTCTTCAGTAACTGGACCATGACACAAGCTCACTTTTATTTAAGGCAAAGTAATTTGCTAAAATGTGATACCATTTAACTGACATCTTTACAGCATGAATAACTTGAGAAAGAAAACTCCTAAGTTAAATTGCTCTGCGTTGGTTGGCACCTGCAGCAGATTACAAAGCTTAAGACTTTTAAAGCACTCTTTGTGTTTGCACAGGAAATGCCACAGAACAAACTTTCCATATTAACCAGCTGAGAGCCCAGATCAGGCTGTACATCTCCTCTTTCACTCTAATTTGGCTCCTCTTCTGCGTACATGCCTCCTTGCATGCATGTTGGACTGGGCCCCCCGACACCACATCGCTCCTATGGCTCCGTGCCTGGAGGGAATCCAAAACCGGATCCACTGAGCTGTGTACTCTGGTCAGTGAAAAATCATTACAACAGAGTGCTCTATTTCAGCTGATTTCATTCAAACAAGACTTACAAGAAATATTGGTCATATTTTGTCTCCAACCCAAATATCTATTTTTTAGACTGTTTCGCAATGCCCAGATATCTAAATAAATTAAACTATGTTTTCTAGTCAGATATAATTGTGGAATAACAACTTAATCAACAATACATGTCCCAAGAAGAGCCATACTGTTGAAATTCCCCTTGGTCCTGTACAGTCTCTCACAGTGACACAAAACTCACATGCCTTGGGAATATGTAAGAATAGGGTGAGCTCATGCAGAGATTTTCCTTGTAAATGCTCCAATGATTTGTGGCATCCGAGGATTCTGGCATCAACAGCCAGTGGGAACTATTCTTTTATGAATTTGTTTCATTGCTCTTTGAACTTTAACAAATATTTCACGAGTAACAGTGCTGTATGACGACGAGTTCTACAGTCCAACAGTGCATAAAGAAATATTTGTTTTGGTTTGAAAGTGTTACTTGTTACAACTGATTCTCATGTGTTCCCGTGCTGTGAAAGACTGAATAATTGTCCTTTATTCATTTTCTCAATTCCACTCATGATTTCATGCATCTCTGTAATATTCTCTCTCTTACAATGTCTTTTCTAGGCTGAAAATACAGTTTACCCAACTGTTCTTTCTATTGTAGTGAATCCACTTCATTATTCAGACAGGAAAATCTGCAGAATACCTAAACAAGCAAAACATCCTATGCAAACAATTTTTTATTTTTTTAAACCAAATAGAGAGAAAAAACTTGAAAGCATTCTAGAAGAAGTTATACTGGTATAGCTAGAGGTTTTAGAAAGTAAACTAGATGTAAAATTAACCTGTAAACCTATGGAAAAGGTGAAAAATAAGAAGTATTACCAAGGGTGTTTTGGATGTAAGATGCAGGGAGGAAACTATTCCACTCCCCACTACTGGAGCAGGATGTGGTTTGGGGCATTACACTTCAAGAAAGATTTTAGGAGAGTCCAAAATGGAAGAACGGTGAAGAAGCGAACTGTCTATGGATCTGCAGAGATACGTAGTTGCAGCAAATCCAGATGCAAATGAAGATTTCAGTGGCAGTGGACCACTTACAGATGCTTACATGTTAACAGCAAGACTCTCTGGAGAAGCCTAGAGATACAGGATCTGTGGCATTTGTCACCCATGTCTCTCCTTGGAGACTAGGAAAAGCAAAGCAGATATGAGTAGGGAAGATGGAAGCTCATTTTTAGGGCTTAATATGATCACAGGGAAAAGGGGCTCTGCCCTAGGAATCCTAGAATGATTAAGATAGCTGTGTAATAAATGAGTGTTACACAAAACACTAAAAAATGTAGCCCAGTAATTCCTACATGCAATAAGCCATATGCCAAACTCAACCTTTAGTATTTCTTGCAGCTGACTGCCACAGTCTCATGGAAGCCAGATGATCTGAGAGACCTTCAGTGAAGGCAAGATGTGGAGAACAAGCTGTTCTCCTGCCTCCAGGGGAAGCAGCACTGCCACACCACAGGACTGCCACCTCAAAAAGGAGACAACGGCTTAGACGCATCAAGATGCTAATGCTCAAAACAAGTTGCTATAGGTTTTGTGGGTCTGAAACATGAACTGTCTTCTGTTCATTGGCTGACCGCTTCTGGCAAATATCAGTAGTAGGAAGAAGAGTCACAGCTGCAAAACGCAAGGAAGTGGATCTAACACTTTGATGCAAGGAAGTAAACCTACTAACATATGAAGGGGAAGGATGTTATAACAAGCTCCCAGAGTTTCTTTTAGGTTTGTTCTGACACACTGCTAGATTTAGATTTTAAACATCCCTTATGTCTCATTCACAGTGCTGTATGAGAAGTAAAACACCAGATCTCAAGAAACTGAAAGTTCAGCATTAAGACCCATGCCTGGGTACTGTCTCTTTGTGGGAGCAGATTCAGACTGGCTTTATACACTGGATCTTAAAAACTACGTGATGATAAATCTCAGCAGACCCAAAGAACAAAGAAAAGGCTGCTTTTACAACAGCAGATGGTTTGAGTCCACAGAACACAGCTTCTCGTTACACAAAGGCTACTGTAGGTTAACAAGAAGTCAGGGTTTTCTCAGCCTGACCTTGAGCACACACTAAAATCTTCGAACATGACCAAATCCATTTACACAAAGTGTAATAAGATGAATGCTGCCCATCTGAAAATCAATAAAAATAAATGAGAGCTATTCCAGAAAGAACAAATTTACCTCGCACGCATAATCAGGAAGAGAGAATTCCTACAGTATAAAGCTGAACCACTGCATACACTTGGCAGCTTCCCAGGCTGCTACAGAATTTTGCACCATTACGCAACATTTTCTGTGGGTTTGTCAACACTCCAAAGTGAGCAGAAATGCAAGGCAAGAGGGGGGAAACACTTGGTGAGATCCAGCATCATCAGTATTAAATGGCTTGGATTTCTATTTTGAAATTCAGAATAGAAAAAATTTCAAAATCCGTTTCAGCATTTTACCAGTTGGGCTTGTAAGCATGGTGCCTCTTCCAATTAAGTTTTCCAGGAATGTTCACTGTACCATCACCCCCCCAAATCATAAAGATTAAAATCAGCAGAGCTTTTGATCTCTATTTGGAATACAGCAAGTTCAGAGCCACCACAGGGCACTGAATCTTGGCAACACTTCCTTACTGAGGAGCATCTTGCCAGGCAAATGGAAACTGGAGATGCTGTGCTTCCGCCGTGACATACAAGCCTGGGCAAAACCACAGTAATGACCTGGGACCAGGAGCTGGCCACAGAACTGGTTTTAAGGAGCAGAGCGCTCTTCAGAAGAGACAACTGTCTTCTCTTGCTCCACCACTTGAAGAAATGCAGATGCTCCCAGTGGGATTAAGCTTGCAGAAAGAGACTTCAGAGTAGCTACAAGCTTCTGATAACCAGAGACCAAGTCTTGGTGTTTTCTGTGACTACAAAAGTCACACAGAAAACAGTCTCCATCTAGAATAGTACTGCAGAAAAAAAGGGTGGTGTATGGAGTGCATAAAATCTTCAGATAAGAATGACAGTCCAAATAACTGGTCAGACCTGGGACTCAATGCAGAAGCCAACCTAAAACTGTGCAATGGGATTTTGGCATGATTTTGTTCTAGAACTCCAGGAGCAGTTGCAGAAAATCACAGCTAGGGAAACGGGGACCTGCTGGGCAGCAGGTTTTGCAGATACAACAGGTGGCCCCTGGGCTTGTCATAAGGAGCCTTTCCATGAGGTTATGAGAAAGATCCATGGACATTTAGATGAATATGTAACTCCTGTGTAAATGTATAAATAGTTAAAAATGTCATTTATAATCCATAATGCATTTCCTTTCTGACTAAATGCTCTAGATATCACTGTCATCAGTAGACTGGGAGAAGCTGAATCAAGGATGTTGTTACAGGCTGGGTGGTAGCTATACAAAAATGATAAAAATAAACCACTGTCCTTCAATTTTAAATGAAAAAGTAATCACACTTTTGATATCAAGCAGCTGAAACACTCCCCCTTAAAATGCAGGCACGTGACCATGCCTAAAAAAGGCCTGGGCAAAGTTCACATGAGCTAGAGCATATCGCTGGCTTTCACTGTGACTTTCAAGGCTGACTATTTTTGCTTTAATTTTCTTGAGTTACCAGTGAAGATGATTCTTAGCAACTCAAATGACTGCACTTTTTATGATATCTCTGAGTTCATTGAAGGCAATAATTTCCATTGGTAATTTTAAGGTGAGTTTGGAAACCGGAGAAGCCAATCCTACAAAATGAAATGTTACTCAGAGAAAAGCTAACATGCTGAAACCAAGGCAACAGACAGGGAGGGCACAGCTCCCTGCAGAAGTCAGTGGGCCTTGTATCCAAAAGGCACTCCAGCTTTCTGCAAGTCAGACCCAACTACCTCACACCTTTTCCCAGAGTCAGCAGTCATATAAAATATAATGGTTTCTAGCCTGGAAAGTAGCATGCACTGAATCTACTTGATCCAGGGAAATTTAAGCTGAAAAAACAGCACAGAGAAATTGAGCTCTCCTAGTGTGGTTTCTACTTCAAAGTTTATCCCCTGTCAGCAGAGCCAATGCTGTTCAGGTGCTCTGTCTGCTGACAGCACCGGGCAGGAAGAAGGAACAATCTCATCCTGAAGGTTGGATCTGTCTCCTGTGCATGACCTCTCACTCCACCAGAAACGATGGACCGTGGCTAGACTTCGAAGGGAAAACAAATCAGTGGTATGCCACTAGTCAGCTACAGGGTAATGGCACTTGCACAGCATTAAAAATTTAGCAGCATTTTGACAGGACAAGTGAACATCCTGAGCAATAAACTGAAACATGCTTCTGAAGGGCAACTCTTCCAAGGTCTAGAAAGGCACAGAGTTGGGAATCTTACAGATGTAGTAGAAGTAAAGCAAAAAATTAGAGCATTAATGGAACAGAGTTCTGGAAAAGAAGAGAAACTAGGTCATGTAAAGCTCTTTAGAAGCAAATACCCAAATGTGTTGTTTATGTAGTTACTTATGTGCTGTTTGCTTTGGAGAGGTAAACAAGGCCACCTTTTATAAGAACCAATGACAGGACAGGGAGAAAAAGGAGAAAAAAATGTAATACATATAAAATGATAATTAATCAGCTTTGGCAAGAAGTCTCACTGCATGCCATTCCCTGCCATCAACACCACCCTCATTTCTTCACTCAGTAGCACATCTGTAGCTCTCAGACATACAGATCAGGATATTCCAAAATGTTGTGTTCCATTTAAATGAATTCTGTAAGATGCAGATATTCCTGCAGATTTGTGTGCAGCATCACTGCCACACCTTTCAAGACCAAACCTTAGGTCTTCTGCAGATTATTTGCATTATTTACATGCATTTTAGCCAGACAACCTACACGGGTGAAAAACTACCCCAAGGCTACCGAAGAGGAAACCCACCTTAATCCACATTTAACACATTCTGGACACCATTTTTCCACCACATTTTAACTACTTTTCCCACTTACAATTTCTTACCTGAAGAGTTTTGACTTTTCCTAAAACGTTCTCCTGTGACATTGCTTGGATGGCCTGTTCACCTTCTGTTCTCCCATCAGGTATAAAAATACTGTCATGGGAAAAAGCTCGACTGCCCATAGAATAATGGGAGGACCTAGAAAAAGTAGTTAAAAATTAAATAAGCACAGCAATAATTTATGAGAGTGACCCTTTGCATCATAGCTGCCCTGCTGTACAGATTTCCTCTCCCTCTTGTCTTCTACATAAAAGCTTTGAACATTTTTAGAAGAGAGGTTTCCAAACATGTTCTGTTATCAGAAGTTTAATGGAGGTACCAAATTCCTTCCCGCATTTTTCCTCCTTGGAAGGACACAGAGTGGGGTGTTTTTAATAGCTGTGTTGAGAAGTTTAATTGATTCTCCTTAGAAGTCTCAAATGTAAATTCTACTTTTAGGCTACAGAAAGCTGATGATGACACATACATTACCAGACAGAAAGCCTGCAGCCATGCTTAGTCTCAATGCTTGGGACCTGCTGCCATTCTTAGTCAAAGACAGTCTGCAGGTCCCCAGCAAAGGTAGCTCTGTAACACAAAAAGAGGTTATACACTCTAGTAACCTACTTCCAAAGAGCTACCTTGCTTAGCCAATTACTTAGCTGTTCCTATCATCACGTCTATGATCACACTGACAATAAAATGTTATCATCAAACCCCTGAACTGATAAGAAGTTTATTACATCAACCCAAGTGGGTTTGATTGGCAACAGAGAGTGAGAGATGCCCATGTGTTAAACTAGAAACCAATGCCAAGGAGGAGAGCGTGTCCTGAACGACCCAGTTACATGGCTCTGCTCTAAAGGCATGGGCAAAGGGAATAAGCAAGAAGTTGTTTAATTTACTGGAAATTTTGAAAGCTCATCAAGAAAACTGAGAAGTAAAATAAAAGGTTTGTAGGTTGTTACTCTAGGGTTTTGAGGGCTTTCTGAGGAAAAAAGGTTTGAGTTTGAAAATCATGTTTTGTCACACCTAGAATATTTCGGGGTGAGTGGAAATCCAGAAAAATACAAACATTATATAAGCCACAGTAGAAGAAGACTGAACCACTGAGAGCTCTTAAATATCTCCTTTTCGTAACCTGTAAGCAACTCTATGGAACTCATTTATAGCTTCAGTAAATAAAAAATATTCGAAAAAAAAGAAGATACTTTTTATAACAATCTAATAAACACAACATTCTGCATGTGATAAAAACATTATAAACAATACTTCAGCAAAAGCAAGGAAGATTATGCTTCCAGACAGAGGGGTAAGTAAAACAGCAAGACAAATTAAAGCGTCACATACTTAAGAAAATCAATATACTATCTTTTCCTCTCTTTCAAAATGTGCAAATTGTTTATAAAGTGTTCAAGATATTTCTGTTCTTTTTCTGGAAAAAAAAAATAAAAAAAATAATTTGGAATATATTTATTACATTTTTGTGTATTTTTTTTCCTGAGGGATGAACATAATCTTTTTAAGTAAAAAAAAAAAAAATCTTTTCTTACCAAGGACCAATGTTATATAGGGTTGCATTGATGTTTTATAACTGATCAAATGATAGGCTCTTCTTGACTTTCATGATAAAATCTATTACATGTAACCTGAAAATAATGGGGGAAAAAAGCCCCCTCACATCTCCTCTCTCCAGTGTATATATAAAATACATTTACACTCAAAAAACCATCAGTCCAAGCTTTGGGGGAGAACACACACAGGTCTCTATGTCATTTCATCCTCCACGCATTTACAGACTAACTGAACAGCTATTTTTTATCCAGAATTAATATTTGAACAACATGCTTCATCTGAAACAAACAACACACCATATTTTGCAGCATTTTTAGTCACCAGAGGAGGAACATTTAACTGACGCTATATTCTATTTTAAATCTTTTTTTAAAAATAAAACTCACAACTTGATTGCCTTTGGCTGCTAAAAGTAACATACTTTCTTTTAGAAACCTTTTATTAGAAAAACCATAAAAGTACATTTTTAAACCCTCTTCTAAAAAGGTTTCTATACCAAATTATCATGACTCAGCCTATACACAGAGCTGTGGTAAAACTGTGTGGCAGTGGAATATATCTACCTTCCTTGGCCATCCAGGAGTCAGCCCATGAACCACAATTTGAGAAAAGCCCCTTAAACAGAGACAAATTCCTATCAGACCTGCCTTGTGAAATGAGGGGTTTGACGTGAAGCTGAGTGAAAGCTGTCCTCTCATACAACCATGTAGGTCCCAACTGAAAGCTCCAGCATTGCATCCAATGAGGGGGAAAAAAAAAGTCCATATTCACAACTAAAACTAAGGGAAACATGCAATATTTGACAAACCAGCCCATGCCCACCCCTCCTGCCACTGCGTGGCTCAATATGTGAAACTGCTGCAGGTGCAGAAGGCAAGGCCAGTGGGAATTTATTGTTTACTCTTCACCTTTGAGCTGCGAGATCTGCTGATGATGCATAACCCAGGTCATATTGTGCTCCACAGAAAATCCTCTCTCAGAGATTTTTCCAGCAATCCTGTGGTTCAGATACTTGTGGCTTTGTCTCACAGCTATTGACTGTGCATAAGACACCATTCTCCCCTTTTACTGTCCAGTGGGTCGGCATTCTCAAAATTAGACAGCTTATGTTTATACCTATTATTTGTTACACCTAATTAGTAGGTGAGGACTGCAATTCAGGCACCAAGGAGTTCACTGACTTGTCTGCAAGTTGTTTGTGACCTTACTAATGAATCTGTTAATATTTAAGTTGGAAAGAGCCAACCTGCAGCTTCTGAACTGAACAGGGTTTGTTAGCAGTTCAAACCTCAAACTTCAGCTGAGCAGCAGCAAGGATGCTTTGGCAGTAGAAACTGCCCAATAATCTCAGTCCCTGAAATGGAAGAGCAGCTGCTGAGACCAGTGCTGGTGGACTGCCCAGGACAGTCCATGGCTGTGGATGACCTTCCCCATCCTGCTACAGAGCTGAGGAAACCTGTAGTGACCTGGTCTCACCTCCTGCCTGCAAATTAAACCAATGAATCTCCTGACTGAGATAGACAGTACAGCAGCTTTTAGCTATGTACAGATTTGGGTTTATGGCTAGTGTGATCAGACTTGTTAAAATAGCACTTAAGAGCTCCCTTTGGGACACTGGGTCATGTAAAACAGCATGGGAGCTTCATGTGAGCTGGAATCATAAGAACTTCATCATGAAAAGTCCAGCCCAATTTGACAAGTGCCCACAATGGTCCTGATGGCAGGTTAGGACCACAACAAGCACATACAGCATCTCCATCTGATGCTCTCCCATACACCGACAGCTTTCAGTTTAGACACTTCCTCATTACATGGCATCACGCATTTTTGTTTCATAGAGCTGAGGCCAAACATATTTGAAAGCTTTTGTCTGGTTTTGTTTTCTTATTAACTTGCTACCAAAACAAACATACTCCACATTGTCAGAAGACATGAAACATTCGCAAGAAACACCACAGTGAATTAACCCAAGAAACCCCACAGTGAATTAACCCAAGACTTCTCTCTGCTGTATCCCCTCCAAATGCTTTGCAGATACACTGGATATTTCAGAACTGGGCAACCGAGAAATTTTGCTAGCCTCATCTCCAATAATAGGTAAAAATGTTTTAAGAATTTTGCTTAAATGTCTACGCAGGCTGAAGCACCTTGGAAAAAAACATATTCGCAGATTATACTAACCTAGCTTCTTTTACAAGCAAGTTTAAATAGTATTTAAGGTGATGTCCAGGCAAGTTTCGATAGTCTTTAAGGTTATGTCCAGGGCTCCTGAACATTCAGAAGGGTCTTTTATTTTACTTCCTTGGAGCCTACAATCCTTTAATATCTTCCCAGCTGATGAGTTTGACAGATTATACCACAAAGGTCCTTTTTCCAACTCTTTTTTTCACTCTCCTCATGTTCTACTTTTGGAAAGACTGAATTTCTTTTAAGTCATAATACAGTATGAATAATTGAGTTTCCTTCACCGCTACCACCATTCCCTTCTCTGAAGCTTTTCGTAGAAGCTTGTATACAATAACATCTTCACACATCTACAGACTATGCTTCAGAAAGCCCTTCCCTCAATTAAAAGGCACGTTGACATCAGGAATGGCTTTCAACAGATTCCTGGTAAGGCAGAGACCTGGGCTACAGTCATAGCCATGTTTGAAGGTATTAGTTTCAAGCTGCCATATCAGTTCCAGGAGATGTGGGAAAACAGTGGCATCGGTTTATGAGCACTTCTGTTGACAATACTGATGATGACACTTCAGAGACTGTTTGTGCTGAAAACAATTGAATCATCATCTGACTCACTTCTAGAAACCTGACTAAATTAAATGAATTATGGATGTGCTATACTAAAATACAAAGCACTTCTAGCAAATCCTTAAAGATGTTCTCTCTGAAGATGTGTTGCAATGCAAGTATCATGTTCCACTCTCAGTTTCAGTACATACATTTTCAACTCATTTTCTCATACTCAAAGCAAAGTTATATTCCATTAATTCTCAGTTTTCTTTGCCACACCTGCGTCTCTCTCTTCAGATATATGAAGATATGCCAGAATACTTGGTTAGTCAGCAAAACTAAGAACATGTTTTTCACCTTATTAGATGAAATTCTTAAGAACTGCTACATTTTTGAGAATGGGGTTCTTTGATACACATGGGCTTTGGCATAAGAAGAGTGCACCAGGATGTGTCTTTATCTTGAGGGTAGCTCCAAGAGCATAAAAGTACAGCAGAACCAACCATGTCACAGGAGTTTTACAAATAACGAAGCCAGTAGTGTCAAATGGGTTGGAAACAGAGCAAAACATGGAGTACAAGGACTACACCACATCTTGGCCATGGACATAATGCAGACCCCTAGCTCAGGTTTAACTGTATTTAGCTGTAAAAAGAGCTGCCTTAAATACATCTCTCCACTAATTAGTTTTCTTCTGCACAAAATCAATATGTTTCTCAGACTCTTTGTTTAACTCAGTGCTGATAAATTCATTCCTCTGGAAAGGGAGAACACCTTCTGTCTGTTCTATTTCAAACTTCCGGAAGAATCCCAGAAAACCCCATGTAAAACAAAT